CTGTTAAAGTTATCGCCTAAACAAAAAAGGGATCCACACACACACATACATACATCAGGACAATTGATCAAGATCTCACATAACATGTTTCTATATAGAAAAAAATTTGTTTCCGCCACTTTGAAAATTTTTATAAACGAAAGGACTACAAAGCTTCCTCCACGAGGAAGCAAAAGTATTTTTCTTTATTGCGGTAACATTTAAACTTCAGATTTATACATTTTTTTAATCCAACTCTATATTTTTAACCTTTATGCGACGGAGACTAATGCTATGACTGTAAACTGAAATTCAGAGTTTTTTCATTATGCTATTGTATTTAATTTTAAAAAGTACTAGGTACTTTATAAGTGGGCTTGTTCTGTTATCATATTAAATAAAAAAATTATAGTAGAGATATATGGATTGTTGTTAAGTTCCAGTACTCAAATTTACATGGGGTAAAAATTCTGAAGTGATTCAATTACCAAAATGTGAGCATTGCATTTTTTGAAAAATCATAACTATTGCATAAATGGATGAAAAAAAATTTGACCAATATCACAGTTTTCTTGAAAGTATCAAATTGAGAGCGTTTTGTAAATCATTTTTAGAAATGATACTCGAAGCAGTCTCATTTTTTGATGCAAAAAATTTAATCAACTTATATTAATCATGGCCGAAATGAATCGACCGAAAAATAAACGATTTATTTTCAGTTATTTTCGTAATAGTGTAATTGCGGAGACTATTTCACTATTTAATTTGAAAATGAAGTTAAAAGAAAATCAAAGACAATGTGCAATTCGATAATTAAATAGTGACAGCTTATAAACATAACCTAAAATGCATGAAAAAAAATTTGTCGATATAATCAATATAGCCGAGCTTTTTAGAAGGTAGGTGGCAGCACTCATCTTTTCCTTTCTTTAAATATTTTCTGAATCTTTTTTATAAAAAGCAAAACTCTTACTTAAAATATTGGTCAAAAAGATGTATTATGTTATCAAAAAAGTAATATTGTAATCTATAATATTGGTTTAAATAAGATATTAATTATTTTCAACAATATTTGTAATAAAATAATTCATTATTTTTTGCAATATTTTTAATGAAAAAATTTTTTTTTTCACAAATATTTTTTAATATAAAATAATAAATAATACTACTTTACGTGCTTGCCACATAATATACTATTCTTTCATCATTATTTTTGATGAAAAAATTAATTTATTTCACCAATATTTTTGAATAAAAAATTAATTTATTTCACCAATATTTTTGATTAAAAAAATATTTTTTTTCATGAAAATTTCCTTTAAAAGTGTATTTTTCTTTCTGTAAAGAGGAGGGGGTAAAATCCTAATTTTTATTGGCAAAAAATCTCCATTTTTTATTAAGGGGATGAGACTAAATATAAAAAAATTTAATTTTTTCTCCATTTTTAATTTTTGACACAACGAGTAGAAATCTTGAGAGGAGAAAAAATTAAAATTTTTAAATTAACAATATTTAGTCCCATTTCATTAATAAAAAATAAAGATTTTTTGATAATCAAAATTAAGGTTCAAACTCCTTCTCTCAACAGAAAGAAAGATTTCTATTCGTGAGTCAAAAATAAAAATGGTGGAAAAATTAAATTTTTCAATTTCACTCTATTTACATAGTACTTCCTGACATTGATGAAAAATATTTATTATTTGATCAAAAATATTTGTGAAAAAAAAATTTGTTTCATTAAAAATATTGCAAAAAATAATGAATTATTTTATTACAAATATTGTTGAAAATAATTAATATCTTATTTAAACCAATATTATAGATTACAATATTACTTTTTTGATAACATAATACATCTTTTTGACCAATATTTTAAGTAAGAGTTTTGCTTTTTATAAAAAAGATTCAGAAAATATTTAAAGAAAGGAAAAAATGAGTGCTGCCACCTACCTTCTAAAAAGCTCGGCTATATTGATTATATCGACAAATTTTTTTTCATGCATTTTAGGTTATGTTTATAAGCTGTCACTATTTAATTATCGAATTGCACATTGTCTTTGATTTTCTTTTAACTTCATTTTCAAATAAAATAGTGAAATAGTCTCCGCAATTACACTATTATGAAAATAACTGAAAATAAATCGTTTATTTTTCGGTCGATTCATTTCGGCCATGATTAATATAAGTTGATTAAATTTTTTGCATCAAAAAATGAGACTGCTTCGTGTATCATTTCTAAAAATGATTTACAAAACACTCTCATTTTGATATAACTTATGTGCATCAAAACGTTGAAATATAAAATGATACAACCAACTTTACTGTGTATGTTTTTGAAAGATTTTTTCTGCTTTTTCGAATAATGCAAAAAAATTTCAAAAAAGCTACTTCTTTTTACAAAAATTTTAAGCCTAGTTCGATCGTAAAGAAACAATTTTTTCAATATTTTCAAAAATATTTTAAATTTTGGAAATTTTGAATTTTTTAATAATATATCCGGTTTTGTTTTATACTGCGTACTTTTATGTATTTTGATGCGCTGATTCCGAAAACCATAGTGACAATACCCACAAATTTGATTTTTATGGTAGGAACCATAAAAAAGTCCTAAAAATTATGGTTTTCACCAAAGAAATTAAATTATTCGTTATTGTCACTATGATTTTCATAATCAGCGAATCAAAATACATTTTTTGTGTCTCATACTTTTTTTAATTTTTCATATTTTACCCAAAAAACGAAAAAAAAACGATAAATTTTAGAACTTTTCTATGGTTTTCATCATAAAAATCAAATTTTCGGGTAAAATATGAAAAATTAAAAAAAGTATGAGACACAAAATATGTATTTTGATTCGCTGATTATGAAAATCATAGTGACAATACCAAAAAATGTAATTTCTTTGGTGAAAACCATAATTTTTAGGACTTTTTTATGGTTTCTACCATAAAAATCAAATCTGTGGATATTGTCACTATGGTTTTCGTAATTAGCGCATCAAAATACATAAAAGTACGCAGTATAAAACAAAACTGGAGATATTAAAAAATTCAAAATTTCCAAAATTTAAAAAAATTTTGAAAATATTGAAAAAATTGTTTCTTTACGATCGAACTGGGCTTAAAATTTTTGTAAAAAGAAGTAGTTTTTTTGAAATTTTTTGAAAAGATCGAAGAATACAGTTTTAAAAACAAGATTTCATCCTTTAAATTACAAATATAGTAAATATAGTAAGTATAATAAATATATAAATTATATTTATAGTAAATTTTAATTTTATAATTTATTGCATGAAATTTTTGAAAAGTTGAGTTAAAAACAGGTTACTTGAAATCCTGCGCTAATTATGCGCAAATACTGCGTTTGGGCAGCTCCGGAGCTACAAAATATTTGCCACTTACATATGTTATTTGAAATGGCAAAAAATTAAGTTTTCAATGGTTTTCGAAAGGGCCGATATAACCGGGCGCAAATTAGGCAACTTAAAACACCGATATTTATCTAAAACGAGTTCCGGAGCTATAAAAAGTTTGCTACTCACATATGTTATTTCAAATGGTAAAAAATTAAGTTTCCAATAGTTTTTAAAAGGGCCGACATAACGGGGCGCTAGTTAGACATAATAGAATACTGAATCCTTTCTCAAATTGAGTTGCGGAACTTCAAAAATTTTTCTACTCACATATGTTATTCAAAATGTGCAAAAAATAAGTTTTCAATAGTTTTTGATATTGACACAAATTTATCACGCAATATTGCTGCAAAGTGACATTTTCAATATTAATACAATATTGCTGTATCATTAAGTGCTATTTGGGGAAATGGATAAAATCGTATTGTTGCCACATTGAATTTTCCTCAAATATGCAATTTTTTAAGAATACATTTTTTGACAAAATATTAATACTCTGGCTCATAACAACGATTCCTTACGATATTTTTGAGTTCTCTACACAATTTAAGATCAATCTGTCAAATATTTCGTGAGAAAACCTGAGAGAAAACCTTTACATGTGAAATCACAACAATCACATAACTTTAAAACGTTTTAAAGTTATGATGTTCACAAAAAAAGAAATCTACACACATTCATCTGGACATTTTATCAGGAAGTTATATGATACATTCCTATATATAAAGCAATTAAATCTATAGAATCATATGTTGGAATTTTCAACAAGTATGTAAACAGTTCCATACTTAACCCTCTAGATGGTAAGAGCTTTTTTTCTCATTGGGACACTCACTTAATTGTTTATAACTTTTAAACGGCTCGATATTTTCGTTTGGAATTTTCAGATTATATTTTTCAATAGTTTTACAACCGATTTATGAAAAGAAAAAGAATTGAATTTTTTGAATCTCTACACCTATTTTTCCCCTTCTATTTATAAGATATAAATAAAAGACGTCTTTTGCCAAAGTCTAAAGAACGTCATTAAACAAACACATACAGTACGTCTTCTTAGCAAGAGTGCCTATACTGGGTATTTTTCTTAACTACTTAATTGAGATTTAAAAAATGGCTATGAAACCTATCTGGGGCCATTCAAGTATTACGTAAGCATATTTTCAAGGGTTTTGGTAATACTTGAACAACCCCTCTTTAAAAATAGATATATTGAATTTTCTTAATTAATTTGGTTGTAAAATAGTATCCAATTCAATCAGTACAGAACGCACAAGAATGTCTAAGTGTAAAACTCCCATTGTGCACTTTATGTAATTTTTTGAAACATTGCGCTTTAAGGGTTAATTATATATTAGTGAATTAAATGCCCTACAAACATTTATTTAAGTACATTACAACACATGCATATTACATATTGCTTGCGCTTTTTAACTTAAATTTTCAAAAGTGTCAATAGTTTAACTTTGCGAATTTTTCTTGATTTTTTAAATTCCTCATACTTTTTCCAATATTGGTTCCATATGTTATAAATTATTAAAACACAATTAAGTGATACCATGTATAAATCTTAGCAATTGTTAGTTAGAGGAAAAAATTGAATAGTAAATAATTTGATAATATTATTAACCTTGTTTTATTCACTTTCATAGTTTCTCAATTTTTATAATATAACAGTTGTTTTTCGAACGTTTAAAAAGAAATGTTTATCTTTATGGTATAAATCGTGTATCGAGAGGAGAATGAACATATCAACATATTGTGTTTGACAAAGAAAAAAATGACTAGGTGGGCTAGAAAATCGAGAATTATAAATATCATCTTACTAATCAACATGATACTTAAGAAATAGAAACAGCAGTTAAGATATGTAACGAAATTACAATAGAAACGACATATCACATTTTGTCGAAACATTAATTATTTTTCGTAGTTAATAAAGCTATATACCAAACAATTAACAATGAGTAAAGTTAATTTCCAATTAGTATATCAGGCCGTTGTGAGTATAACGATCATTCGATGCTCTCTATGACGCTTAAAATTAACTTATAGTTAAATAAATATATGACTAAAATGTACATATGTACATTGATAGTTTCACAGACACAGAAGTTTCGTTTTGTATTATCTGTTTTAGTATCGTATAAACGCATTTACCTGAAAGTCAATTATAATGTTTATTTTTTACACAAATCGTTTTACTTGAGTCACTGAGACTCGGCTTCATAATGAAAGTCTCGTAAATACATTTAATTCTTAACGAAGAAAACGCGTTTACTCAACCTTCGAAACGACCCTCAGGTTTGTCTCTCTTCTCTTATTCCCTCGCTGTGCAATTTGCGTCCCGATAATTCAAGCATAACCTTCGAAGCAGGATCTTGATCTAAAATTGATTTGGAATCTCTCAAATCTTCTTCCATTTCCGGCACTGAACCAACTCCCCAGACTTCAAGATGTTTTATGTGAAAGTCCTCTTTACTACTTAATTGAACATAATTCGAGAAAGTTGTACAGGAAACACTTGACTTCCCTGTTCCATATTCACAGTCTAACCATAATCCTGGGTAATTATGTTGACCTCCCATTAACAAACCGTTGACCATTGTCTGCTGATGTAGATTCAAATATTGGTAATGATCATTATAATTACTTGATGGAAACGTCAAAATCTCAGGGTTTAGTTTGAACAAAAAGCAAGATTGATTTCCTTTATAGTTTGGACTAAGTGTCCAGCTTTCCGTAGCAAATCCCCCAAAAACATGATCATCTGAATCCTGAACGATTATAATCGTCGAACCTTGCATCGAAATTCTCCCCAACATTGTAGAAAAAGATTCACCGTGAACTTGACTTGAAAAAAGGAATCTCCATTCGTTTTGCATTTCATGAGGTAAACTCAAATTTAGAAATAGTACGTCTCCAATACCTAGAATACTGGGAAAATGTGGAATGTTCTCTAAACCTTTACAAATCGGTAAGAGATTCAGGTCATGTACTCGTGTTGCTGTGTTTTTATCATTCTTCTTTTGAGAAACTATAAAGAGGCACTGAAATACATGTGATTGGATTAATTTAAAAGTAGAAGCATGACTAAACCAGTTATCTATTTGGTCAACTGTCAAACTATCTCCGTATTGTAAAATTTCTTCGCATAAACTTTTAGCCCTCATACTGATTCTTCTTACGTTAACCGTGCAGCCAATACTACTCCAACTTTGATAGTGTAAACTTGCACAATTTTTATGTATCCTTAAATAAGAACTGATGGTACTTTCTACATATTGAAGAAAAGTAGCAGCAGGTATTTCGTACTTCTGATCTCCCTCGAAAAATCCATTAAAGATGAGACTCGTACGTTCTTCAGAATTTCCACGTACTGCATAAACATAAAGGCGTCCAAAGTTTTCGCCATTAACAGCAGAACTTCTTTTGCCGGGTTCGTGGCAAAGAAAACGTACTACAAATTGGAGAAGATCTTCATCCAAGTGAATCGACCAATGTTTAAAAATGTCTTCACGCTTAATCGAACCAGAACTTCGAGACATAGACTTGAAAAGGTTCTCCACTAATATTAACTCTTCCGCTGAGAGAATGTTTGCAGAAGAAGCTGATCTGCTTGATCCATGGCCCATCTAAAATTAAAATCATACTTTTAACATAATTTGAATATTTAGATTGGACAAAAATTCTAAAGAACGTATAGAAACAACAGAACATTGCTTAAACACAGTAAAAACCTGAGCTCATTTTTGCTACGGATCAAAATGATCCTGCTAGCTAGATCATTTTGAGCCCGGGTTTTTACTGTGAGTGGGAAAAGCACGATTGGCTGAATATTGATCCAATATTGGGAGCACTTTTGCCAATCTTGGTCCATTATTTTAGCCAATATTGGACCAAGTCTGGGAGTGTAGAGACCAATGCCAAGGCTCGAATTTCAATATTGGCCCAATATTCAACCAATAGTCAAAAATACAACAAATCAGACTCCAGCCAAGATTAAAAAAATTAATTATTAAAACTGAAATATAATAAAATTTTTTGTTATATTTATATATTATATTTTATTATATATAATAACATTATTATTTCCCTTCGGATCAAGGGTTATACATAAAATCATACACAATAAACGGAGAAAAAGAAAAAAAAAATTTTAACGTCATGCTAGACATTAACAATTATCAGCTAAAAAAAGAGATATTGTGAAGATTCTGTACATATCGCGGATACTTATACCCTAACCGATTGATGTTGTTTATGAGAGAGAAAAAACACTGCCATCTGGCGGATAGTTGGAAAGTTAACGTAGCGCGAAATTCAAACTGCGTGAAGGAAATCTGTAAGTATAAAGAATTAAAATTAAAAAAATTATTTGTGACCATTATAACATTAATTAAGTTTTGTTTAATGCAATAGAATGCATTCTTAAGTAAATACATTTTCAAGTAAATGTTTATACTTACAGTTTCTCCTTCACGCAATTAGAATTTCGCGCAACGTTAACTTTCTTACTATCCGCCAGATGGCAGTGTTTTTTCTCTCTCTCATAAACAATATCAATCGGTTAGGATATAAGTATCCGCGATATGTACAGAATCTTCACAATATCTATTTTATTTAGCTGATAATTGTTAATGTCTAGCATGACGTTAGAAAATTTTTTTTCTTTTTCTCCGTTTATTGCGGATGATTTTATATATAACCCTTGATTCGAAGGAAAATAATAATGATATTATATAATATATAAATATAACAAAAAATTTTATTATATTTCAGTTTTAATAATTAATTTTTTTAATCTTGGCTGGAGTCTGATTTGTTGTATTTTTGACTGTTGGTTGAATATTGGGCCAATATTGAAATTCGAGCCTTGGCATTGGTCTCTACACTCCCAGCCTTGGACCAATATTGGTAAAAATAACTGGTCTAATATTTAGCCACTATTCAGTCTTGGAAATTTCTCACTGGGAATCAGTTAAAAAAACAACAGGTAGAACTTTCAGGTTCCACAAAATAAAATTTCTTAACCGAATTTTACTCTACCCCACTGGAAAAACCCACATGAGATTCCACGTGTGAACCTATGTTAGATCCATTAAGGAATCCATGAAGGTTTCCATACAAAAGCACACCGAAATTTCAGACAGGATATGGTGTAAGAATCCACATGGAATCCCTTATGGGTTCCCATGTGGAATTCCATATGAGATTTCAAATACCATCCATTCAATATAGGATTTTTTATTTAAATAAAAAAAATTTTTTGAGTATTAAAATTTTTAAAAATTTGAAATTGAATATGAATTTTTGTTGTTAAATTCTAAGATTTTTTTATGTGTTTGTTAATTAATTATTCATCTGAATAATTGTTTAATTTTAAAATTAATTTGATTAAATCAATGTTTTTGTCATTAAACTTTTTGTCGGAAATTATAATAACAGTATCAGTACGATTTTTAATTATTGCAATTTTGGACAGGACTGGATGGTTTGAGTAATAATTCAAAAGTCTCCTCCAATAAGTATATTTTCTGTACCAATCTGTGATAATATTATTGTCTTTAGTCCTATTAATTTTTTTAAAAAAACTTATTTCATTATTATATTCCATTTTATAAGTGAACTGTAATCTTTTATGAAAGGAATTAAAGGCATTAACAGTTACTGATACTTTATTTTTAGGAATACAATTCAAAAACTGTAGTGAGGAAAGAGGACTACAATGTTTAAAAAAGGGGTAAACTTTTTTAAAAAAAATTTGCACCATTAAAAAGAGCAGGAAAATACCTTTCGAAAATATGTAGACCTCTGTTACAAAAATATAAATTTAGCTTAAACTATGGCTGCCAACGTCGGCAGCCCTAGTTGGGTCAACCATGGTTCCCATAGTTGGGCCGACTGTGGGGGATAATGGTCGGTATGACTTGGCAGCCACAGTTGGGCCAACCAAGTCGACCCTAGTTCGGTTGACGTTATCAATTCGCTAGTTGGCCCGTCCTCTGGCTGCTCTCTTAATTTGAATCAGTGAAATTTCACTGGTGAAATAGCTAGAAGTCGGTTACTGAATCATTTAGTGAAATTTTCACTGAAAATCAGTCATATATCACTGATGATTTCCAGTGAAAATTTCACTAAATGAATCAGTCAATCTGTATTATCAGTAATGGGTAAAACAGATTGACTGATTCATTTAGTAACCGACTTCTAGCTATTTCACCAGTGAAATTTCACTGATTCAAATTAAGAGAGTGCCCAAGGTGGGCCGACTGAGCACATGGTTGGCCCAACTTGGGGCCGACCGCCAACTCGCACCTGGGATAGTCTTTATTTATATTTTTATAAAATTACTATATGGATCACATAGTGAAAATAAATTTCTGCTTTTAAATAAAGCTGACTTATTCACTTATTCATAACTTTATAAAACTCTGAACAATTCTGTCGATATTGATTTTTTTGACACTTATTCTGTAACTAGATTTATATCTAATAGCAAAATTAAATGGGCGCCAGTGCGCGAAATCCGGTATGTAATTGTTTATTATAAAGAAATTTTAAAGAAACTAATCAATGATTTTTTATAATCTTTAAAATTACAAAAAAATTAGTTTTGCTAAATATTTTTTTGTATTTTCTATAAATATTTCATTGCAAATGGAAATTTTAAATTTATGTTTTTTTCAAAAAATGTAATTAATTGATAATTAATAAAAATGAATTATGTAATCAAAAAGAAAATTAAATTAACCGAAAATTATTAATTATATTTTAAAAAATATTTAAAAATTTTGAAAAAATAAAACCTAAAAAAAATTTTGTAATGTTTTAAACTTTAAACTTAAAAATTAAAATCAAATTGACAATTTTTTAAAAAAGCAAACAATTTATTTTCATATCAAAAAGAATTTTTTTTTTTTATTACGAAATGTTTACAGATAACAAAATTTAACAATTTCATAATTAATAATAAAAATAAATGAATAATAAATTTATAAAAAATAATATATAATAAATAATATGTAGTGAGGGAAATTTTTATAGTGATGTATTGGACTTTTTTGGAGTTAGCTTAGTTAGGTTTATTGCTGAGCTGCGTGAAACCGTTCTTAAAATTTAATAATAATTTATAATAACTCTATGGCCATAATATGTTAATCTTTAGTTGTTTTTTTTATATGACAAAATTATTGTCTACAATTTAAACTTTATAATGGGTTTATCACCCGTCTGTAATTCTAAATAAATAAATAAATAAATGAATATTAAAAAATAATAATTATAAGTTAAAACGTTATAATTATTATCTGTAATAATCATTATATTAAAAAAAATTCATATATAATATAATAAATTTATAAATAATAATAAAAATAATAAAAATTATATTACAATAATTGGAACTTTTTTTCTATAAATAGTAAATACCAAGTAGGAAATATACTGGTGCTGCACACAATAAACAATATTTTTCTTTACCTTTAACTGTCACTTATAGTATGTGACTTATTTAATGACGATAAATAAAAATATCCGTCGCGTTAACCATAAAATACAATTAGGTGGAAAGGCGCCCTTTTTAAATCTCATTGGATTAGAGAAAAAAATCAAAAAAAAATTTAAAGCAATAAATACTTATTTTAGATTGATAAAAAATCCCAGAAAATTCAAGAAATTCACTGACGACTTGAATTCCCTGACTTCTCTAACCGTTAGACACCGTTAGACGTATACAGACTCAAATTTTTTTATGGACATTTTGTTGTTCAGACGACAAACTATGTCAAAAATTTTGAATTCTGAGCAAGATACAGACAAAAGTCTTATTTTATTAATATATATATCAATTACTAATCTTGTCAATTTAAATAGTTTTAAATGGTTAATTGTGTTAATGAAAACAAATTATAAAATTTTTCCATCTGTACAACACAAAAATGGTATATGAATAATTTTAATACCTAATTTTATATTTTGGACTTTATTAATATTATTATTTTAATTTAAAATGAAATGAATTAAATTTCAATCAAGTGAATTCTGCATACATTCCAATTTGTTCGAAAAAAAATTAAGTAAGAATTTTATTTTTGAAATTCAGTTTGAAAGAGAAAAGGTTATTTTGACAGTTGGAAAAATTTAATAAAAAAAAAACTAAAATTAAATTTGGACTATGTGATCCTAAAAACACATAACTATATACTATAAAATTAATTATTTCTGGAATTTTTTCTACAAAATTAAAAGAAATTAATAAAAATTAAGTAGTTAGTAAATTGAAAATACTTAATAAAGGTTTGTTTTCATTGCCTGCACTTTCTTATATTTTCACACTAAACGTACATAACCACATGTGACGCACCGAATCAGTACATTTAGGTACACTTTTTTCACCTCCTCTTGAGTTGGTGTTTTAAGTGTATACTTTCTATGACAACAAAAAAAAACCTTAAGTAATATTTAATTTTTAAATATTTACAAACTTTCCAGTATAATATAATGAAAAAACAATTGCCAGGTTGAAGTTTGATTTTTTTATCATTTCATGAACACCTAGCTTCCTCATGGAGATTTTTTGTGACCAATTTATGGTAACTAATTTAGTATATTATAATAATTTAAAAAAGGTGTTAAATTAAAGTTGCTTTGAAATTGTAGATTGATTTGTAAAAATTAATAACTTCGTAATATTTTATAGTATAAGGTTCAGTATAATAGGTAAATTGTTTTTAAATATTCTCTAAATTGGTTATGATAATTTTAAAGACAAATTAAGTTTCTCAAAAAAAAATTTTTACTAGCAAAAACCGTTAGTTTTAGTTAGTCTTGATTAATATGTTAAATCATATTTCACAGGTAATTTTAAGTCAATTTTTTCATAATACTTTGGCATTTTTTATACAATAGTCAAATAATATATAAGCAACTTAGACTATTGAGAACAGACCAATGAAGAAATTTATATTTCATATTATTTAGGTGCTTTTTTTATATTAAAATTTACCAAGTGTCAAAATACTCTATTTTCCTTACAACCATTATAACAACTTCAGAATTGAAATATCAAGGTGCTTATGTAAATACAAAAATATTTATAAAAATTACCAAATTTATTATATATAATTTAAATTTTAACATCAATTTCATAATTAATTATTTCTTTTCAATTTGTGATATCTTACAATACTGTAAACAATGTATAAAATATGTACATTATCTTAATATTTTAAGTTTTAAAAGTAAAATTTATTTCATTATACATTAAATAATTTATAATCACTAAAAATTAGTTTCAGACTTTCCAAAAATCTTTAATCAGAAAATTTTTGTTCAAAGAATTTTTATCATGTTTTAAAAAATTAGAATTATTTTAGGTTACTTCCATTTATACATGAAATTGTGACTGAAAAACAATAAGGAATTGTAAATGAATAAAGCATAATTTTATATATAATTCAAAAATTTGTTTGTCAGAGAAGAAGAAAAATTAGGGAAAAGTTAGGAAAATGACAGGGAATTTTGAAAATGAAATTTTGCAGACACCCTAATAACTGAAAAATACAATTTTTTTACAATTTTAAAAATTGATATTAATGTAAAATGCTAAAACATTTTACAAAAGTAGTGGGAGAAATACATTCTAAAAATTTGTATATAAATAATAAAATGTATGAAATAAATATAAATAACTTTAATGAATTGATTACAGCCATAGGTTAAACAATAATATATGAATGACTTTAAACATTCTAAAGTAAAAAAAAAATACATTGAGCATTTTGACTGACAATTATTATACTATTTTAAATAATAATAATAATATTTAAATTATTTTATATTATACTACTACTCTTATAATACATCAAAAAGTCGAAGATACTTTGAGTTGAATTGATTTCATGAATTTGCATCTTGCTTATTTCAAAACCTATAAATACAACGCAAGTACATCTATTTACATCGAGTTTCCTTGAAAACAGATTTGATATAAAATAAAAAGCAAAATAAACTCAAATCAGGTCAATTTCTGATAAATAAAGAAATAAAACTTTTATTTGAATAAGCAGATTTACAAGTTTAAATAAATGAAATGAATATTGAGTAAATGAATAACAACATTTGAAAAATAATTAAATTTTATGAGATTTTAAAAACAAACATTGAAATAAACGGACCTTTTCTATAACAGCAGTTTCGTGTACAATGACTATCCATATATTTTCAGATATTCACTAAAAAGTCTTTCTTTTCACAATCACAGTTATAAATTTAATTATATGAAAACAACTTAACATCAAACTCTCAAATTGTGTAACAAGATAATATCATATAATCACTCCTAATACTGATGAATACTCCAAAGATCAGAAATTATTTTAATATTTAAGGTTATGGGATATATTGCTCATTCTCGTCGTCTGCTTTTCTCCTCTTCTATCGACTGTTCAAGCAGCGCTTGCGTGACCCGCGAATCTTTTTTTTAATTTATTAGCATTTTAACTGCAAGATACAAATGATATTAATTAAAACTAAGATTTTTAATTGTATTCAATGCCTTTTTTATTTATGAAATAATATTCTTAGGTCTTTATACAGAGATAATTAAAAGAATTACAGAATTATATATATTCAGGAAATTTAGTATTAAATAATATGTATAGTATGGTGATTCATCTCAACGAAGTGTCACCTTTGACAACAGTAATATAAAAAAATTTCTTGAATATTTCTTATGCAGACTATATTAATAACTATTAAAAAAATAATTATACCTATATTGTTCTTGGAGCTTAAATTAATTGTTTAAATTTTTTTTCAATTGGACAAATATGTAGGTATTTCCGGATATTCTACTTGAAAAATTTTTTATTTATTATAATTTTAATCTACTAATATCTGATTTGATATAGGTATATAACCAAATGCTCTATTGTTTTATCGCACTTTTGTTCTTCCAAAATCTCTAAGGAAACTGATTAATATTTATATCTAAAAAATAAATGTGACTTTTAAATGAAAAATATCATGTCGATGAACTTTAATTTAAAAAAAAGTTTTATTAAATATTTTTTACCTTTGTTAATAATTTTAACATAGATATCTTAAATGGTAATATTTAAGGATTTATTTTTTTAAGTTGTTATTTACATTACCAGGATTAATTTTATGCAGCAAAAAAAATTTGGATAAGCTTCAAACGCATGAAACTGACTGTCCCCATTTACCCCAAAATTTAGAAAATTTCATAAAATTTGGGGTAAATGGGGACAGTACAGTTTCTAAAAAATTTTTAAGAAAAAAGTTTCCTAAAGTATATTACTGTATTAAGGGATGAAAAACTTTTAAAAAATTTGTAGTAGATATATAATAGTTGAACAAATTAAATTTTTTTTATTTTTTTTTATTTAAGTATTTGAGAAAAAACAGACTTAAAAATCATACCAAATTTTTTTCTTATTCCTTATGACTCCCATAACTGAAATTCACTGGAATTTTCATTTTTGTCAATTTGGTTAATAATAACAATGGGGACAGCTTGTTATTATTAACCAAATTGACAAAAATCAAAAATTTAAAGTGAATTTCTGTTAAAGTAGTCATAAGGAATAAGAAAAAAATTTTATATAATTTTTAAAACTGTTTTCTTTGAAATGCGAGATAAAATACTGAAACAGTTTGACTTTGATTTTCCAGTTTTTATGCATTGAGCGATAACTAGAATTATCTTGCTGCCAATTGTCAATATGAAAGCTTGGCAATACTTAAAACTTCTTGCAGGTGATCTGAGGTTAAAATATTGACGTTGAACTTAATTTTAAAATTGTAAATTAAGCTCTAAAACCTCTTGTCCCCATTTACCCCAACTGACCCTAATAGTTTTATCATAAACAAAAAAAATTAATTTTCTTTTAATAATAAATTAAAAAGAGTTAGTATAAAAATTTCAATTTTATAAGTTTATTTAAAATATAAAATAAAAGTTAATATCCTAACAGTTAATAAATTAAATAAACTAGCACTATTAATTAAATGGTTGTTTCTGATTTTAAATACAAGCTATGAATTTAAGGGGACATTCCAGTTCAAAATAGGGAAAAAGAAGGCTTTTTTAAAATGTATTTTTAAAAAACAGTGACATTTATTCAGAAAATTTTTGTTTACATGTTATAAATAACTTATTGAAGAATATGAAAAAATAATTTTTTTTCACTTGTAGTCCAAGATAACAGCGATGTACAACATTTTCAAAAATGTTCATTTTTCATGGGAGGATCGATTCCGAGATTTCTACAACAGATAGAGACATAAATTAAAAACATTTTCTTTGTTAGATATTTCTCTATGGATGGAACATCAAAAAAATGGAATTTTCGTCCCCTTCTTTTTTTAGGGTACATTTTTCCAAAACTTGAAAAAAACACATGTTTTTATTCAGAATCTCTGTTATAGAAAAAAAGGGAAAAAGAAATTTTCCAGTTTTTGAGGTTCCATCCATAGATAAATATCTAACGAAGAAAATGTTTTCTATTTTATGTCTTTATCTGTTGTAGAAATCTCGGAATCGATCCCCCCATGAAAAATGAACATTTTTTGAAAATGTTGTACATTGTCGCCCTCTTAGACTATGTTTTTTTTAGAAATACATCCTAAAAAAACCTTCTTTTTTCCCATTTTGAACTGGAATGTCTCCTTAAAATAAAATTAAAAACGTAATTCATTGTTGATTTTAATAGGGTAAGTGCATCAAATACGGCGCGTTCATTAAAAATAACTATTATTTACTATTATATTTAATATAATTGATGCAAAATGATTTTAAAAATTATTTTAATCTTTTTCTGATACAATTACTAATAAAGATGCACATTTAAACAATTATTAATTTATTTATTTGAGATCATATTTTTTCCCTCGCCGTAATTGAAACATTTTTAAGATTTCTATTGGCTCCAATTACGGTGGGTAAAGTATATTCAAAATACACTCGAATCGGGCCGTAATTAGTGCATTTACCTTAGTTCATTATGTCCTTATTGGTCATTTTTGATGCTTAAATAAATTAAATTTGAAATTAAAAACTACATTAAACAGTATTAATTGTCTTTTGCATCCTATATTATAACTACTGTATCCTATGGCACAAATGTCTACACATTTTTGTCCTTTTCCAACTCACATGTTGTGATGACAACACGTGCGTTAGAAAAGCACAAAAAGTATAGGCAAATCTGGTCATGAGTGTATATAGTATAAAGTCTAATTTTTAAAATATCTCGCTCAAATAAAATTTTCGAATCTAATTATATTAGAATTTTATTTTTAAATAAAAAATTTTAATATATTTAGGTTCAAAAATTTCATTTTAGTGAGATATTCAAAAAATTAGATTTTATCCTATTAGGCTGGGTTTCCAATCACTTTTGTAAAAGCCAACACACAGTAAGTTCGCGAACGAGATGCATGAGATAGAAAAGGATACAAATATATCTCTGTCCTTTTCTAACTCTTGTTTCACGTTCGCGAACGTCATTCGCAAAACTATTCTGCTTAGGACTTATGGAGCATTTACACCTTTGGTAAAAAAATTTTTTATTTTGCGTTTTCCTAAATACACAAACCTGATTGGTTGTTCGTAATCTGTTTTCTCTCTCTTACTCAAGCGAGTAATACACGGACAGAAATAGATGGTACGGGGTACTATCTAGATAGTACCAGGTACCATATTTGATCTTACATATACGGACAGCAATCTAGATTCTATCAGTTACTGTCCAGATTGCACGGAGTAACATCTTGATTCCATGTAAAAAAAGAAGTATTAGCAGTGGCGCGATTCCGTATTACAAGTAGTTAGGTTGAAATACGGAAAACGAGAATTGACGTATTTGAAGGAATGGGGAATAAGGAATTCGGGCAGTTGAAATTCGTGAGATTTTTAATTTTTTTTTTTTCGTTTATACTCCTGCCCTATTGGCATATTACGCACTCGACAAGAGTCCCCGAGAAATACTTTTTATGGATGAAGCATAACCATTCTACAAATTTTTTGCAAATTTTTAACCTAATGCGCCTACAGTGCGACTTTCGAAGATAGGAGTACTCGCATTTGCCTGAACCACCCGTCATTGGGTTTTCTCGCCAGAGAAGAGGGAAACTGTAGAAAAACCTCTTCTGAGTACAACCGGTTTATCGACTGTCTAGTTTCGGCGGTATACATCGGACAATTAATCGACAATGTATACCGTCGCACCTAGACGTCAAACCTCCAGCTCAGAATAGCTCACGTGTCGGAAAAATCCCCGGCTGACGGGGGGCGCAAACCTCGTTCGCTCAACCCGCAAAGCCTGGAGCACCAACCAACTGAGCTATTCCGTATGAGATTTTTAATTAGTGAATAAGAATTAAAAACGCGTGAGTGATCATTAATACCCAACTAGCACGTAATATTACAGTAATAATACTGGAATATTCCAGTGATATAAAAATGTCCGCCTGATGGTGATATTACCGAGTAATATTACTGTAATATTATGGTAATGTTACAGTAATATTACAGATTGAATTCAGTTACTCATAAAGCATCACAATCATAAATATATTGTAAGTCAGTGTGACTTGTTGGTAAAACTCTGGACTTGTGTGCCTTGATTTCGGGGTTCGATTACCCAAATGGGTACATTTTTTTCGTGAAATAATATTTTTCTAATATTACTGCAATATTCTCATGTATTATTACCTTAATATTACGGTATAATATTACTAGAATGTTACTGTAATATTATAGTAATAATGCCTTAATATTACCGTGTAATATTACAGTAACATTATCTAGTAATATTACCATGAGGCGGACATTTCAGTATCACTGTAATATTACAGTAATGTTACCAGGTAATATTACGTGCTACTTGGGTAGTTATGTATAGTGAGAGAAGCAAGTTAGCGGAATGTAAAAATACCTGTGTTTAGTGAAAATAGTGATGTTTAAAGGAATAATTAAAAGTTAAAAGTCAAATCGAAATACGTGAAGTGACGGGTTCTAATACGTGACGTGGAAAAAAGGAGATGATCGTACTTCTTTACCGACATCGGGTATACTATGTTTTGTTGGTAATTTAATGAATTAATTTTATAATTAAAATTATCATGTCTAAACAATTTTATATAAAAAGATATGTGAAATTTATTAAATGCCAATTAATATTCCACAGGTAGATAAAAATAATAAATTTTATTAAATTAAAAATTTTTATTTTTTATATTCTAATTTTTCGTTAAACTAATGAGTTTTTGAAAAATTAAATTTGCACGGAGAGAAATCTGCTGCGATTTGCGCATGAGCAAGTCCAAAGGAATATAGCATGGACACTTCCAAGCAAAAACCATAAGATTCCATCTGAATATCAGGTGAGACTCATACAATAATACCTCGC